TTCAACTCAGAGAACTGTCAGAAGTAGGCTGGGTTAATTAACTTCAAGCTAATGATGTCAGCCTTCAAACAACTGGAGTCAGATGGTTAATTGATTCAGAATTTTGGAATTTATTCAATTTGTTGACAATATTCAAGCGAATGTTGTCAATTTAACTAGCCGAGAAAGAGGGAATTGTGGCAGTTTGGCTCATCCACACTGGATGTAAAATTAAAGAGAAAGAAAACAGCAGATGAGTCAAGAGTTTTCACAGTTAAAGTTGTGAAAAAAAATCCTACACATTGAATTAAAAGTAAATTCAATTAAATATCAGACTATTTACATAGTTGCAGAATCATCCCTGTATTATGAGCTCTTGATGTGTACCATTTTTGTTGCCCATTCTTTGATGGCTATTCATCTCAAGGAAATGACAACTAAGCAAAAACAAAGAAACACCTCCACTTCCTGGTTTGGCACACATTTTTACCAGATTTCATTGTCCTGCTGCCTATCCTTTTCATTGCTATATCCTTTTGTCTAAATTAGTAGAAGTGTTATAATGGCATGTTTTTTAGTACCTGGCTCCCAGTAACATAAGTAGCGTGCTTGTTTGAGAACATGCAAAAAGTTATGGAGGGTAGTGAATTTCTCTAAGACAATCAAAAGTTTAAATCTTTCATTAAATGGTGTTTACTTACAGAAGTGGAGTTTCACAACCTATGATGAAGAGAGTCACTATCTCTTTTTATTTATAACATGCTAAATAGTCATTATGATGCAAATTAAGACACAGTACAGCACTGTAAAATGTTTTCTGTATTCATGAATTCCCCAGTTCATGGCAGTGTACACGTTTGGGGATACAGCAAAGCATGTGGCTCCAAAACAGATGTCTTGTCTCCTGTACATGTGTTTTCAAGCAGTGAATCAAATGGAATCCAGGATTTAGCTGGGGGTGACTCCCATTCAATGATCCTTACTTCAGACGGTATTCTTTACTCCTGGGGTAATAATTTTGAGGTGAGAAAAGCAAGGAGATCCTCTCCTAAGAGATTACTCATTTTAAACATAATTCCCTAGTATTTTCAAGACTTAGAGTCCTTGTGTGGTAGACTCTTCACAAGAATGGAAAGGGAAAGGATCCTGTTATGGCAGATTTGATGCGGATGCATGCATGAGAAACGGTGGCCTATTGGTTGTGCCCCAGACCCTTGGTCGAGGGGTTCAGTTTTGAGACCTGCCTCAGGTCATTTTGTTGTGTTCCTGGGCAAAATACTTTACTTTCAAAGTGCCTCTCTCCACTCAGGAGTGTGAAAAGGCTCTTGGGAATTTCCAGGGAAGCCTGATAAAGTGGCATCCCATCTAGGGGGGGAGTGGTAATCAGGGTTCCCACGCTCCTTGAAAGTCCTTGAATTTTAATTTTTTGTTTTCAAGGACTTGAAAACCCTTGAATTTAGACTCGAGTCCTGAAAAGTCCCTGAAAATAAGTGCAGATGAATCAAAGTCGAAGTTTTCTTATGTTTTAGGTGTTGAAAGTGTAAGTTTCTAGCGCAAATCGCGAAAACGAGTTTCCTTTCAAATCCCAGGTCGGATTATGATGTTTGACACGTAATTTTTATATATTTTGTAACTGATTGGTGGATTGAAAATATCCTTGGTTACTTAGCTTCTAATCACTCTGATATGCATACTTGAAGTCGCGCTCGTTGGAGTTTACGGCCGGTCCTGCAAGAAATGTTTTTTATTTCTATCAGCTCCTATTTAATGCAAAAGGTCCTTGAATTTGAGAGCRAAAGTCCTTGAAAATGACCTAAAAAGTCCTTGAAAGTTCTTGAATTGGGTTCCTGAAAAAGCGCAACTTGCTGTATGTCATTGAAACTAGGATAAGCTCTGACTGCTTGAGCCACTTGGCTTGAGGACAGACTTTTCACTTTTACTATACAGATAAATTATTTGCTTTCTGACTGGAGGTTTTTCCCCTCGTTTGTAGCTTTTATAGTTTTACTCTTTTTCAACAGTGTAGGAGTGTATTAGAATAGGTCTCTTGTCCACGTTGGGTAAGCAAGATACTGTATTTTCGAATTCTCAATTTCAGGGTCAACTGGGACATGGAAAGTCTGTGAAGTTTCTCAGCGATCCAACAAAGTTGAGCCCCAGTTTACTTCCTGGAATGGTGATCAGTGTTTCTATTGGTGAGAACACTTCCGCTGCTGTCACAGGTGAGATAAGTGGTATTATTTCTTTCAGTTATGTGAGTCCTGTTATCTTCTGTTGATTTATTATGTGCACTGCCCCTATGTCACATAAAAAGCTACGTGTACATGAGCGAGGAGCGTAGTTGTAGGAATTAACTTCGAAGGAAAACTCCTGAGAATCGTTTCATCTAAAACAAGTGGAACTGCTTTCGAGAGAAACGAGAATCGTCCTAACGGAAACTGTGTAAAATCACATCATGCAACAGAGGCATCTTTTGGGAATCGAAAATAAAGAGAAGCTTAATGTCTTCGAAAGAAAAACGAGTTACACCGTGGGGAAAAAGATTCGTTAAGTCTGTCTTTGACTTATCATTAAAGATTAACGAACAAATCATGGTGTGCATTTCTTTGCAGATGATGGAAAATTGTACTTGTGGGGCAAAAACGCGAGCCAGATTATCCGTGTGAATGAAAGTAGCAGGTTTTTCCAGTTTGAACCGTTTCATGTCTCCCTGGGAACGTGGAAGGCCTTGAAGGTGAGATTTGAAATTAAGTATTGTGGAGGGGTTTAATAGGAATAGAGAAGGACAGCTTGCCATGAGGCCTTCGACGGTTCAATAAATGCTCCTGAATCGTTGTACGTAATTTGTCCCAATTAGATAGTCGCCCTTGAATAATAATTTGCTGAAGCGCGCAGGTTTTGTAGGAGTGAAAGTAAACGAGAACAAGTTTGGTCGAGGTTGAAAAGCACTCTTGGTCTTGTGGTAAGGGCGCTGGTCTTGTGGTAAGGGCGCTGGTCTTGTGGTAAGGGCGCTGGTCTTGTGGTAAGGGCGCTGGTCTTGTGGTAAGGGCGCTGCAATTGACATTTCCGTTAGTTCTCCAACTCCCGTTGTGCCTGCTTCTCTCCTCGTTATTTCTTTGATTATGGGACCTTTTTTTCCCTCTTTACTTAATGCTGTTACGCAGAAGCTTTGGGAAACCTCGAAAAACTGATCATCACTTTTTTGGGATTATGGTTTCAAAATTCATTTCGCTTCGCAGGTTTCGTGTGGTTCGTGGCATGTGGCGTGTATAGTTTGTCCCAATCAGAATAGCAGCAAGGCGGTTGCCAAAATTTCCGAGGGAAGACCTGAAGTAGAAACAACTGCTGTCGAGAATGAGGCTGACGATAGCTTGTACGATACTCCACTCGAATTAAGGCGTGAACAGGAGACAGGCATGAAACCGAAAGATAATTTTACACCGAGTGATAAGGAAATACCTGACAGTGATGAAAGAGGAATTTCTGATGATTCTTTAAATCTTTTGAATCAGACAGTTTCAACTGTTTCAGAGAATGATGATTTAGAAAGTCGCAATACAGAACAGACTGAGAGCTCTTATCGTGAAAGTTTTAGCATAGATTACTCCGTGGATAGAGAAGTCAATGGGGTGGCTGATAATATGAAAGTTATAGATGGAGCAAACCTAGATAATTCTGCGGTTGCAAAAGATTTAGAGGAAAAACCTGCTTTGAGAGAAAATCAAGAAATCAGTGACCATGTAAATAAACTGGTAAGCGAGGAAAAACCGGCTATCAGCCCAAAAGCAGCACAGTTGTCTGCGCCTGGTGATCCAGCCATAAAGGGGATGAGTGCACGCCTGATAAAAAATTTGGAACTAGGATTTGTGGATCGGAGTTCACTTCTAAATAACCATTATCCATCAAGGACGCGCGATATCGTGACCAAAGATAAAGATATATCGACTTTTAGTGACGCACTGTATGAAGTCAGGCCGCTCTCCAGTAATTTAACGGAACAAAAAACAACCTCATCCATCAATTTTGAATCAAATAAGCCAGACGAGCAAACTGAAAATAATTTTGAGTTCAGTGTAGACGATGAATTTGATTACGCTTTTGAAAAGTACAAAGGTGAAACTAACGTGGTTGAACCAGCAAGTGAGGACAAAAAGGAGGCAGTCGCCGAGAATAAAGGCGAAATTCACCGTGTAACAAGACCAAGAGCTTTCTCTGAACAGCGTAGTGGTGACGACGCTCCTGTATCGCAAGGAATTGCAAGCGCTCTGCGGAGCGGGTCTCTTGACAGTTTGAAACTTCATCGTCATCAGGACGATACTGCCAAGGATGTCAAGTCAAGTCGGGTTCGTTGCAGTCCTCCTGCTCATTCACAGAGCCCAGTGGGACAACTGAACAGAGAAAAAAGGCCGGCTAGAATGCTACGATATACATCCGTTGACATGGTGTGTACTTAAATTAAAAAAAAAAAGGAATGAATTTGACTTTGTTTAAACACAAGAGTCAATGTGAGTATCTGAGAAACTGCGCACTCACCCCTCCCCTAAACCAACAACAGGCAAGTGCTAACAAGTGCGCAGTTGCTCAGACTGATCCAAACATGGTTTAAAATATCAGTCGAAACGGAAAATTAGCAAAACATTTCTCAAAACTAGTGTAAGTATTTGCTCCGTGAAGAATTGTAACATGCAAGTCTTCGAAAGCTAGTGTAACATTGAAATTTTTTTTACTTTCCTCTCCATAGGAATACCACTTACCTAACCAGCCTGTGCACACTGTGGAGATTGGTGTCACACCCTACTACCGACCACGCCCTCCCATGAATCGCACGCAATCTAGTCCCACTCTCTACTCGTCAAACTTAATCGGCAGTCCCCTGGGTTCTAGGAGGAAAAATTCCCTCTCGGCGAAGATTCCCAGACCTCCCGCCTCCAGTGTTAACAGTGGCGAGAACCTTCCACCCAGACCTCCTACGTCCAGTGTTAACAGTGGCGAGAACCTCCCGCCCAGACCTCCTGCGCGCGGAATCAGGCGTCCCATTGGTCACAAGCCTGTGTTCTCATCCGGAAACTCATGGAGAAAGCGGAAGTGATTAAAGTGTAACGATTCAGGAGGAATTATTCTCATTTTCAAGACGTAAAGACTATTTTTACCGAAAAAGCCCCCTTACGCTTCCATCTGTGTATACTAACTGAATTTGTTTGTGATTCTTTTTGTGAAAAAATCTCAAAGTACTTTTTGTACCATTGCCATTTCGTTCAATTCTTTATTTCAGTGAAGAGAAGAAAATTCTAGCAATAGGAAAGTAAAATATTTTGAAAATGTCACGACACTTTTTCATTTTTCAGTACAAAAATGATAAAGGCCCCAATAGAAAAAAGACAACAGAAGACCAAACAGCAGCCGAGTTTGTTTAATTTCACGGGCCGAGGTTTTTCAATTACTCGTTTGGCTAAGCTGAGAAAGAAGGATTTTTTTGTTATTTTTCGTTGCGAAGTGGAAATAGTTTTCACTATCGGCGTGTTAATTTTTTGTCTATTTGTTTGTTTGGCTGGTTGATTGATTTGTTGTTGTTGTTTTCTTTACCATTTCTCTTGTTTTGTGTTTTTGGTTTTGTTTCGCCTTTTGTTGTTTTTTTGGAAGTTTCGTTGCACTGTGTTTTTTAACGCACCAGCGCCATCTGTTTCATTAATCCTTGCCACCTTAGCATCAGTATACATCTCCTACACGCTGCTCTCTAGATATCTAAAGGCGCCGACAAGGAGAATTTGTTTACAAATTGAAACCCTCTCAGTTGCTGATCATTTTCTTTGGTCTCATGACCTTAATGTGTGATTCAGGGGTTATATTGTAAGGAGAAATTAGATGTTAGTCACTCCTAGAGGTCAAAGGTAAATGAGGGTTAGCGTAGTTTTGATCTGAACCAGTGCACAGTACTTTTTCCACAGACTTTAACTGGTTTGGAAACAGTTTTATAAAGAGATCTCATACTAGATGGTCCCTTCTTGTTTTATTTATAAGTGTGTTACAGCAATGTAGATTTATTTATAGACTAGCAATGTAGCGCATTATTTATTAGATTTTGAGGTTGAAGAAGTAAAAGTAGTTATTTAAGCCAAGCCAAAGGGAAGACTGTAGAAGATTAAATGCTTAAGTGAAAATAGCAGAGTAGTGAAACAAAATGGCCAGTTGAGGAACATTCTTTGTTTTATTTTTCATGAGTGTCTTGTCTTTTAAAGTCTTAAGTCATTAGGTTATCGGAATTCGAAATAAAGCTATTTTTATGGTTTTACCTACTTGAAGAGTGTTAAGATTTTCATTTTACTTTGTACTCATAATATTTTCAATAAAATGCATTTCAAGAGCTTAACGAAACTTGCGTGTATCAGGCTTGGTACTGCATTTCCTTTCTCTTATCTTACCATTTTCGAAATAGACGGTAGGGTATTGTCGTCTTGTTGTCGTGACTAACAAAGGGGGCTGTGGTAGTGATTATATATTACTAGGTTTTTGGTTCTTTTCAAGTTATACATGGTCTGGATGCTAGAAAAAAAGAAGATCAAGCATTTAAGTCGAAGGCTTACATGCAGCAAATGATGAAGGAAAGTCGGATGTCGAAAGTTTGCAGTCAGAAATCCGAAGTTTAACTTGAAAGTCGGAAATGAGAAGTCCGAAGCCGCAAGTAGGAAAATTGTACTGAGGTCAATGGTCGGAAATGAAACTCCGAATTTCGAAATCCGAAGTCTAAAGTCAGAAATTAGAAGTCCAAAGCCGCCAGTAGGAAAATGAAAATTCGATAGTCGGAAAAATGTCGATCTCCCCGTTTTTCAAGATGTTTTTCCATCTTTGAGGTATTCACCCCGTAATTAAAACGAAGAAACACTTTTATTACTAAATTACCCATTAAAAATGACAGGGTAAAGGTTGGGGAACGCAAGCAAACAACAAAGAAGATTGCAGCTTATGCGTGGTGAGAATCGCGGTATTATTGCGTTAGTGCTACTTAAAAGCAGTGCGTCAAGATCCCAGACCTATTTTTGAAATTTTATATATGCTATTTATTTTTTATTTTTCTTGTTTTTAGGTATCTTGGTGAAAAAACTTCCAAGGAATTTCATCTTGAATTAAAAGTTTGGCCAAAAAGAGTCTCTAGACGGTGGCAAAATTCTTCGTCGAGTTTTGTTTATCCAACACCTCCCACCCCATCTCAATACTCAGCGTTTTTCATGCTCAAAACTGAGGTTTTGACCGGTTATCACCTGCTGACCAATTTCTCATGTCCAGAAGAACAAGGAATTGTGCAGATTCAGTAGTGGATAATATATTTTCATACGTCTTTTAAACAACTGCTTCCAAGTGGGGTCACGCACGCAGGGCAATAAACCAGACTTGGTTTTCCTCCGAATAAACAAACTTTTAATAACAAACTACATCTCCTTTTTACAAGCGGGACGTGTGCTTCTTCCAAGTGAAGAGCGCCCAGAGTTTTTTTCTCAACAATCAATAATGACACTGAAGTATGAA